TATTAGATCCATACTTGATTATGCATGCCAGGTTTACCATAGCAGCTTAACTAAAGCCCTGTCCGTACTGGACTTTTTTTGGTCAATCTAACCGAGACTATGGGTACTTTTCCCATTTTAAATCCAGTGCGGAAAGCCTAGGACGTTTTCCTCGTGGTTACTTTTCCTGAGTCCAGCGGTTACTTTTACTGGCCAACTGCTGCCCAGGAAAACTTCCCAAGCGCCAAGGAAAACTGACCAGGTCACTTTTCCCGAAACGATAAGTCCAGTGCGGACAGTGCGAGTCGGTAAAAGCGGCTCAGGAAAGCGTACATCCAGCCCGAGCGCCCTGTATGTTATGCATACAGAGACCGCAGGAACCTGCAAGAGCAGTGGCGGAACATTTTGTAGAAACACGCTGCGGTGTATCATCAAGTCCGATCGGTAAAATCTCGTTAAAATATATATTTCAACGGACAAATACATACACAGAGAGAGAGAGAGATCACGTTCTGAGAATTAATTTGCGGAAATTCTCTTTCTCCACCGATGCATGTTATTTTCTACGATCCAAATTTGTCCTGATACGCTACTGTAGTCATGCAGTGAACACCATGGTCCGGTACCGTACGTAGGCCGTAGTCACTGGTTCCTGGCCCACATCATAGCTTCGATTCTGTAAGCATGCGATGGAAACCAACGAATACTGATGGCACTGCTGCCGCACGGAACATCGTACAGCAGCATGGCTTCGACGACGTGCATCACAAATGCGTCAGAATTATAGGCCTTTTCGTCAAGATTTAGCGTGTCAAGATGAAATAATATCATGTAAACGATTATGTTGTGCATGCAAATGGCGTGTGTAATATTACTGTGCGTATCGGCGGCTGAAAATGTGATCGGCAATTTGTTTTCTGTGTACGGTGACCGTGAGTCATGATTATACTGACACTGTGACAGCTCGGTTACTTCTCCCACGCGGTCTGGGTAAATTTTCCCGTGTCGAAAGTCCAAGTGCGGACAGTGGTCACATTTGACCATTTCTCATTTTACCATCGTCTCGGTAAAACCTTGCAAAAAAAAAGTCCAGTGCGGACACGGCTTAAGGAACAGTCCAATTTGTTGGAATCCATTCAACGAAGAGCTTTGAGAATTATTATCCCTGGTAAGTCTAATGCAAAGGCAATGGAGCAGGTAGATATTCAAAGTCTATATGCCCGCGCAGGAAGTCACTGTGTGAGCAGTTATTCGCTGACATGTCAAATCCTAACTTTTCATTTGCTCGAAAAACACCAGCCTGTATCGTATGCATTAAGGAACCAGAGACAGTTCAGCCTGCCTTTCTGTAAAACGAACAGACTAAAGAATAGTTTCATTCCCTGGTGTCTTTATAATTTACAGTCCTAATTGTTAGTCACTTTTTAGCAATGTTAAGTTGATGCTGATGTTGATATTAATGACTATTTTAGGTTGAAGTGTTTTTATATCGTGTGAAGTTACCTGTGAATGCATGTGTGTCTAAATGATTTAAATATGTATTATAACTGAAATGTTTAGTTTTTAAATTTAAATACTTGTCATGACCGGTGGAGCTCTGTTAGTCATGTTCTAGGTATATGTGAAAGTATGTTTCCAGTAACTTGGTTACTTTTAGAAGCTTTTAATGTTTAATGTGCATTGCTATTTAAAAGGTTTAATATTTCAAACTCAAATGTAATTTAAATATCTTTCAAAATGTTTTTAATCCAACCATTTTAGATGCTTTGGTTGCTAATAATAATAATAATAATAATAATAATAATAATAATAATGTACTTGTGACTGGGCTTATGATGCACTTGTGACTAGGCTTGTGATGTACTTGTGACTGGACTTGTAATGTACTTGTTACTGGAACTGTAAAGTACTTGTGACTAGACTTATGATGTACTTGTGACTGGACTTGTGATGTACTTGTGACTAGATTTGTGATGTACTTGTGACTGGACTTGTGATGTACTTGTGACTGGACTTGTGATGTATTTGTGATTTATCAATCTTAAGTATCTCGGCCACAAGCAAAGACAATGATCTTACCTGAGTGAATACCGATGCGGAGTTTGAGTTTCTCATCTTGTTTGTGTGGCATGATCAACTATCAACGCCCTCCAGGAGATGCCATGCAGTGGAGGCGATCATACCAGCATGACGGCTGCCATTATGGATCAGTAGGCAAGAGACCAACATGTAGGCATCGTCGATGCTTTCAACCTTGGCAAGATGTTATTATTTAACACTGGTTAATTTTGCTTTCAGACATTATCATAGAACATACATATTTGCGTGGTTTTTCCCTGAACTAGTAACCATGGTAGCATCAACTTAACCTCTGAGTGATTGTCATGACTACGCCTGCGAACAGCCGAGTAATGTTGACAATGATAATGCAAGTGACTCTTTGTAATTATATCACCGCACCCACAGATTCTGTGTTTTTCAGTGGCCGAGAGTGTGCATCACATAGTATTTGCTATTTTCCGTCTACATGTACATGGCTAAAAGGACTATATGACACCTTCCATTTTAATACTGACTACTTTGAGTGGCATAATCAAACTAGCCTCCTAGACCTGTTTTATAATGCCACTCAAAGCAGTCAATATGCAAGACTACAAATTATAAGCATAGCTTGTAAAGTACTCTGAAAGTAAAACAGATCTAAGATGGTAGAATCAAGTTAAGGGGTTACGGGTTAAGTGCTTTCTGTCAATGTATTGTTGATCATTTCATGTTTGCATATTAACCATAATAAATGAACTTGGATAAGTGTATTAAGTATAATCTATTGCAAGTACTCTTTAAACTAACTTCCTGTGATATGGCACGTTTGGCTTAACCAGTTCACATCAGACAACGTGTATGTATACAATGTACACGCAAGGTTTTGTGGTAATCGGAATGGATGATGGATAAACACACAACAAGCGAGGCCCGAAATGTCTGTCAGTTTCCCGCTTGCAGCGAGATACCCGTAGATGACAGCCTGAAGCCGTCTGGCATCCAGATTCATGAAAACAATCCCAAGTCTTGGTCTTGTCAATATCAAAATAGTCCAGCGCAAACTGGTTAAAACAATCTGCTGAGTCATATGAAATATTTACCTTTTAGACGTCATAGTTGGAAATGATGGCGTTGAACAGCGTGTACAAGGCATTCAACAAGTTAACAACCTGGAAAGTTAAGCGCAAGATGTAAAGGGTAACTTTGGTGACACTATTGGTTTGCAATTATTTTTGGTGCTACTGTAATTGGTGATTTGGCCGCTGTTGGATCCGGTTGAAATAAATAAATAAATAAATAATCTGAGTAGACAATTTGATCAAATTTGAGTGCATTTTATGTTTTGAACTTAAGCCACCTTTGAGAATATGATTGAAAAGTACTAGGCCCTACATGCCCTAGGTGCATGTATATCTAGGCTGATTATAAAGATTACGTGCACAAACAGCAGATTGTCCCTTTTTGACAACTTTTGAGAGCCCTAGTTGGAGAGACGCATTGCGTGAATGTACTGGTACGCGCCCTTTCGTGTAATTATGTCATCATGCCAATGTTTGTGTTGGACATTCCTCACTAAATATTTGCCTTATTTATATAACTGTAGCAAAATGCTTCCATCTTCAAGTTAAATTTATTATCATTGCACTTCCGGTTACACTGGAAGTAAAGGTCAAATGGTATGCGCCCTGGACATGCTGGAACAAAATATTGCCAGTAGCAATGTCTGAAACAACAAAAAAATGAGACTGTTCCATTATAAAGTTATAGCCTACATGTAATTAAAAGTAAGCTCTCAAATTTTCATGTTAACCTGCTTGTAATTTGATACCAGGTGATGTCATGATGACATCACAATTTCTTTTACATCTTCGGACAAGGGTTCAAATTCCATCTGGGTTTTATCGTCATCACGTGAACTGTTTGGAAAAGATGTGGTTCGTTTTGATTTTGAGGCTTCTGTCTGTAATTTAAATTCACCCAACTTTGACCTTCCAGTAGACCCGGAAGTAAAGGTCGAGCGAGTTCACGTAGGAGAAAACCCGTAAAGAATTATTGTCCAGCAAAAAAAAAAAAAAAAGAATAATTATTACCATTTCAAAAAGGTGATCGGGTCGTACCCGATCAAAAAGTCCCCAAACATTCAGTGTGATGAATCCTGCTGTTGACAGATTTTCCACTTTTTTTTGTCTTAGTTTTATTGTGCTGAGCATAAAAATCGGGCAAGAAAGATCTTTTGCTGTTACTCCCTCAACCGTTTTAAAGTACAGTTAGAGCATTTTCTCTTCAAATATGAAAAAGTCTTACATTGAAGGACTTTGAGTCTGTTCCATCCCTGTGAAGCACCAGCAAGGTAGTGATCGATGTACTTGATGCAGTCCTTCTCCTGGGCCGTATAGTGCTTCTCAAGGGAGCTCTGGTCTGAGTCTGTACCATCCCTGTGTAGCACCAGCAAGGTAGTGATCGATGTACTTGATGCAGTCCTTCTCCTGGGCCGTATAGTGCTTCTCAAGGGAGCTCTGGTCTGAGTCTGTTCCATCCCTGTGAAGCACCAGCAAGGTAGTGATTGATGTAATTGATGCAGTCCTTCTCCTGGGCTGTATAGTGCTTCTCAAGGGAGCTCTGGTCTGAGTCTGTTCCATCCCTGTGAAGCACCAGCAAGGTAGTGATCGATGTACTTGATGCAGTCCTTCTCCTGGGCTGAATAGTGCTTCTCAAGGGAGCTCTGGTCTGAGTCTGTTCCATCCCTGTGAAGCACCAGCAAGGTAGTGATGTACTTGATGCAGTCCTTCTCCTGGGCCGTATAGTGCTTCTCAAGGGAGCTCTGGTCTGAGTCTGCACCATCCCTGTGAAGCATCAGCAAGGTAGTGATGAACTTGGTGCGGTCCTTCTCCTGGGCCGTACAGTGCTTCTCAAGGGAGCTCTGGTCTGAGTCTGTTCTAGCCGTGAGAAGCAGTCCTTCTCCTGGGCCTTATAGTGCTTCTATAGTGCTTCTCAAGAGAGCTCTCTGATGTGAAGTGAGCTGGTAGATCTGCCATCACCTGGTCAAGAAATTTAAAAATTGTCAATTTGGGAAAACATGTTTGATACTGTAACAAAACAGGGGTATGTGACTAATATCATGTCTAGCCTCAGAAGCATCATGTCAGCCCGCGCGTTAAAGCGCGCGATACTGTTGGGCAACCAATCAGCATGCGCGTCCTGCATGTACACTAGGCTGATGGGCATGTCTGGCTATGAATTATGCAGGTGTGTACTGCGTGATTGAGTGCATGATAGCGCACGGCGACCAATCAGCAGCGTGCGTCCGGCATGGTCTGGGGTGATTGCCTCGTGGCCTGGCGTGGGATCGGGACTGCTGTGAGAGACTTCAATGAGTAAACTACTGGGAGAGACCGCGTTGTGAAACAAGCAATTATCGAGCAATCTCGTGAGCGTTTACTGAGTTACCCTGGTTGGACTGGAGCGGGAGAAAGCCCCAGCGCGCCTGGTGTGATCGGTCAGTAAAGCTGGACTTCGTTGTTTACATCCCCCTGTGCATTTTAAGGTCTTATCGGATAAGATTTGGGGTGGATTGTTGTTAAGAAGTCGGATATTTCAGATATACATGTAGGGCCTGAGTTAAGATAGTAGTGGGACTCGGAGTAAATCTGAAGGTTGGGGGAACAGTTAGGCTTAGTTCAGACTTAAGGATTGTCTTCCGTTGTTTGTGCCATTTGGCGTAGCTGCGGTATAGCTGCCCTGTGAGTCCGTTGGCTTGTTTTCCCATTGAGAAAATAGTGTAGCTAAGATTGTTCGGAAGGTCTGTCTGCCGTTGATCTATGCCCATTGGCGTGGCTGCGGTTGATGCAGACTTGGACAACTGAGAGCTCGCTTTTCCTGCTGGGGAACCCGCTTAATGTGACTTTGTGGAGGGAATTGCATGCCGTTGTCCTGTGCAACTTTGGCGTAGATACGGTTGATTGCGACCCTGTAAAGTCTGTGAACCCTGAGTTTCCCGAAGGTTTACTGGGTTAACGTCAGGGGACTATTATTATCATCGGGTGGGTTATAACGTTACTACACTACCCTGTGTGTGTAATTCGCTGGTCAAGCAAGTAGCAAGGACTGTGTTGTAGTGTATACATCTACTCTGTTATTGTAGACCTCATTAGAGTCATTTTGTGCAAAGTGAAAGAACACTAGCCCGTTATTTAAGTCAGTGGTGCAGACGACCACTTTATAAATTACATGTAGGAACCCCTAGAAGTATAGGTGAGGTATACCCAAGTGAGGTTTACCTTACGTGAATAACCCCGCTCAGCTGTGAATTATAATTGTGCAAGTTAATCATAAGGGAGTGCAGTTGACCCCTGTTGAACCAGATGTTTATAATTGTATAAGCTAAAGGGTGCAGTTGACCCAAGAGCTGTACGAAGGTTATAATTGTATAAGCTAATGACAAGGGGTGCAGTTGACCCCTCAGCTAAGAGCGAGGTTTACTAGTGCTTATCTAACAGCGAGGTTTACTAGTGTTCATTATCACAGCAAGGTTAACTAGTGATTGTTTTAAGAATGAGGTTTATCAGTGTTAATTCGAACACCGTCCGAGGTTGACCTGGATTCATCAGAACTGTGAGGTTTATCATTGTATAAATTATTGAATGGTGACGCATTGACATTATAATTGAAGTGTGCTAAAGGAATAAACTAACTGATTAACGTCTTGGAATAACTGGTTACTGTGAAGCTTATGTAGTCCCGCTCTCTGTTGGATAGATCTGAGTAAGTTAGTCCCCTCTTCTGTCAATAAAGTCAAGTACTTAATCGCAGATCGGTGGTACATTTCCGCCAAACGAACAGCCCCTAGGCTTAGTCCGCCGTTCTTTAACTATATCCCCCCTTGCGTCAGGGTAACCGCTCATCCTTGTGCGAGGTTAATAAATATTTTTGTGGGTTAAGGCCAGGTCCAATTCCATCCTTCAATCAGGTCAGACTGTCGGGTCACCTAGTTATTCCCGCCACAAAGGGTGTAGGCCTATAGCTCGTTTCGCCACAATACTGATTGAGACATTTACTTGTATTCATTATTAGCTATCCTGCAAATTCGAGTGGAACAAGGTTAAAACAAAATAGGTTAACCAGTTTGCGTCGGATAACGTGTATACAAACACAGATTTTGCGGTATTCGTAGCGGATGACAGATGAACAAGCAATGATAGCTGAGTCCTATGCATACAGATCGTCAAATTGGTTCAGAGAACTCTTGGAGTTTTTAAGAATAAATTATTGTTTCACTGAAGAAGAAGTGTCTTTGCTCCCGTATTAGTCCCATCCTTGTAGATACATGTACATGTAGGATAGGATGCCTGGTTATACAGGTATCACAAGTCCTAAGTTCCCCCCAACATTATTCTTAATTAATGAAATAGAAATGCATGATTTCAACAATATAACAAATGCAAATGACAGAGGACACTCTTCTGCCGATCTTGTGAGAAAATGATAGAAATCCAATCACGCATACCAACACGAAGCTCATTTGAATGAAAAAAGTGCCAATAAAAAAAGTCTCAGTACACAGCATTGCTCCAATGTACCGTACTGGTTTGAGTGATCCTGCAAGGCAGGGTAGACTTTCATTAATTAATAACTTTACCTTACAAAAGTTTCCTTGTTTAAAAGGATGTTTAACTAAACAAGACACAATCTTGGTAATCTAACAGGTAGGAGCGGAACGATAATATGCGCAAGCGTACAAGTTCAAGTACGTACCCCCCACGGCGCTCTCCGAGCGATCGCGATTGAACCGAAAATGACTGCGATCATTCTGCGCGTGTGCACGTTTCAAGTGTCAGGTTGGCTCAGTGCGGAAAGGGCATATTTTTCATCATTTTTGCCGAAAAACGGACAGAATCCACCGATGTTTGTTTGGTGCACATAACGTGAGTATGTCATGAGGTATTGTACGGAGTTTAGGGGCAAACTGTGCAGCGGTTCTGTGGGAAAATGCTTGGTTGGGATGGACGTTTTTGTACTTAGTTGGTGTTTTGTATAGCAAACAGTCATAGTGGGGTAATCTGCCTATGAGCCTCATCATAGTTCTAGGAGTACTCAATTCATACTAGGATAACTGAGATTACAACTTGAAATTAAAAGGAATCAAACCAAAGAAGCAGTAGGATCTGAACCAAAAACTTTTCAATTCATTCAAGGGTAACTAAGGCTACACCTTGGAACAAAAGAGGAATCGAACCAAGGTCAAACCTAGCTGGAGTTACCCAGCCCTGAGTTTTATCATTGGGTTGTCATCTAGGGCTGGAGCGTATTTTTCTCGTAACGTGTAGTATATTCAAAAATTTTTGGAAAATGTTCAATTTTGTCCCCTTTACACACTAATTGCAACTGCAATTCACCCCAAACTTGCCTGGAATAACCATTACACAGGTCCTTGAAGTAAAAAACGATCCACGATGAAGATTCAGCCTACAATTGCAGTGAAAACAGGAGGAATAACCGCTAACTTGACAACCTTGCCGGATTGGCCAGGACTGCTATTGGTTTGTGCACACAAAAAAATTGTGTACAATGAATGGCGGTCGATTAACAGGCACAGAGAGCGATCGCTGTCAACTACTCGGTTTGCCGGCTGCGCTCTGTTGGCGCATGACGTCACGCGGAAGCGTATGACCCGATGACTGTTTCATGCACTATTGGTTGCGGTTCCAGTACCAAAGCTGTGATGCGAGTGGTAAACCTTATATTAGTGCATGAAACAGTCATCGGGTGTTACGCTTCCGCGTGACGTCATGCGCCAACAGCCAGCGCAGCCGGCAAAACCGAGTAGTTGACAGCGATCGCTCTCTGTGCCTGTTAATCGACCGCCATTCATTGTACACAATTTTTTTTTGTGCATAAACCAATAGCAGTCCTGGCCAATCCAGCAAGGTTGTCAAGTTAGCGGTTATTCCTCCTGTTTTCACTGCAATTGTAGGCTGAATCTTCATCGTGGATCGTTTTTTACTTCAAGGACCTGTGTAATGGTTATTCCAGGCAAGTTTGGGGTGAGTTGCAGTTGCAATTAGTGTGTAACGGGGACAAAATTGAACATTTTCCAAAATTTTTTGAATATACTACACGTTACGAGAAAAATACGCTCCAGCCCTAGATGACAACCCAATGATAAAACTCAGGGCTGGGTAACTCCAGCTAGGTCAAACCCATGTACAGGACTCAAACTTGCTACTTACTTTAATCATCAATGATCTAAGTCAGCACAACTCCGTCAATGAGTGGAGGTTGATCCATGTCTCAATGGTGTGCTCGATTGATTGCCTCGTCCACTGCTTCGTTACCACCCAAATAACTCCCCAACCAAGAGAACTGGTTGGTTGATTTTTATCAGCTGTTGAGCAAAAAATAACAGTAATCAGTAATCATAGGAAAATGAGACATTTTCTGTCTTTGTGCAGTTCTCTCTTGAAGGCATTACTAGTGTTCAAAAATTACCAACATTCAAAAAGGTGTCATTACATTGAGAGAAGTCTGCTTTAGGTTGACAACATTTTTTAGCCATAAAAAAAAAATTGATTCGAATTTGATCAAAACAAAACAGGGGCCCTACACTATACATGATCGCCAAAATGATGATACTGAGTGATACTAACAACATAAATCTGGGACTGCATGCACTGAGAATTAACATTCCCAATTGTGTTAGGAAAATAACTTACAGCATTTTTTTCTTGACTCATTCGTGTCCAAAGACCTTTATACACACACACACACACCCACGTGTGTAAATGCCGGCAATCGTGGACGCCCCATTGTCCCTAATCCTCTTTCCTTTCCTTTTTAGCGACAGCTCTCATTGGTTTTGTACACGATTTGAGATCGTGGACGTTCGGTCAATCGTGGACATATTGTTTGAGCCCACATTCTTTTGTCCTACGCGTCGTCCACGATTGCCGGTGTTTACACACGCACCCACACACACACACACACAACGTCGGTGCTACCTACATTATGTGGACGTCTTTTGTTCGGAAGTCCACACTGCGTATGTAAGACAAGCTCACAATCGCAGAAGTGTCGTCAGCTCAGGATGCAACATTTTTTCCAGTAAGGCAAACACTGACATCAAGGGAATTTGTCTACCTTGGGAAAGTTGGTTGACTTCCCCCCTGCACCGCCGTCATGACATCCGAAATGATGCGATCGGCGATGACATTGGCTATGGCTCATCCAACAACAACATCGATGATCACCCCCACGTCATGCACGTGAAGGTTTGCTAGCTACACATGCCAGAGGTAAACGCGAGTTCATCCAAAGACTCCTCAATATTCCAAAGGAACGGAGAGACAGAGGTTGTACACCATGTCTGCAGTCCTATGAATATTAGAAATATGATAATGAAATAAGAGCATGAAACTGGAGTGGGAGGGTCTCAACCAAAGACCCACAATCACAAACGCAGAAAGGTAATTAAACAAACTACAACATGTGCACACCAAGCAAGACAGCTGCGTGTTTGGCAATTAAACTGTGTTTGGCGCCCTCAATATTGAGGGCGCCAAACACGTTTCATTGACTGCACCAAACCATTGTGTACACAGTCTGAGATCAATGGCACAAACCACCAAAGACATAAACGCAAAAAAAGCAAGCTGTGTAGAAAACATGTACCTGTGTTTCCCCAAGAGTGGATCCAGAACACAATTGTTTTGGGCTGGGCGAAAAAAACAAAAAGTGATTCCAAAAATTACGGCGTTTGGAATATACAACATTTGCAAACACCAAGTTTTTACGAAATACCTCACTAGGATCTTGGTTAATGACAGTCTAAAGCATCCTGTAAAATTATGGCACTTGGTGTGAAGTCATTTTCAAGAAAATTGTATTTTTGTATAAATTTCCAACGGTGGTCGGCCGACCACCGTTGGAAAACCTAACTATTTTTCAACTACTGCTCCAAATTTACCATTTTGTTCAGTCAAAATTTTGTTTGCTATTGGTTACATGTTCATGAACGGGTGCAGCCCAGCTAGACTGGTTCCCTGACCTAACAATTTTCCGGCATCTATAAATTGATCCATTTCATCTTTAGTGGAGTCAGGGAACCAGACTACTTGAACGTTTTTGTTTTCTTGGCTTTTTCAGCATTTTCGAACACAAAACTTCAAACATGTCTGTGTAACAATATTTGATCTATTATACTAACCCCTCAAATAGTTCATTTTTAAAAATAACAGCAAAAGCCAATGATGTACATTCCCTTTAAGGGCCCCAAAAAACTTTTGGATATCTAGATGCTCTTTGGTGCGATCTGAGGGAATTTCTGACCACTTTAGCCAACGCCAACGTTTTAGGAGGAAAAGATGGTGGTGTACTCAGTGCCTGCCTGCCTTAATTGCGACGTCACATAAAAACAAAAACAAAAATGTTTTCATTTTGAAAAAAAAAAACACACTGTCGCGACATATAAAAAACCGCATGCACAGGGCGCGCCGCCATTTTGAATTTCGATGGCTTCAGACCTTTCAATCGGCCCCATAGAGTGATATTTACACGTGATAATTGTGTCACATATCGTGTTAAATAATGTATTTCTAAGAGTTAGTGTCTGGATCCGTGTGTGTTGTCCACTTAAAATCGCATGGTCTTTTACGCCATTTGAGCACACTACGTTGCTTTGTTTAAATAAATGTTATTGTTTGACGATTTTTCTTCAAATTAAAGAGAGTTATGTCATATTATCATATTGAACAAACACACTAAATGTCAACTTAATACAGCAAGTATTTCTTGAGTTATTGTCCGGAAAGTGTGTTGTTTATGTTCTGGGAAAGTTGACTTCAATTCACCTGGTATTTTAAGCGCTATTACAATCTACATTGCTTTGTCTACATTATTTTTTTTATTGTTTGACGATTCTTCTTTAAATTCAACAGAAATCGGTCACATACAATGTTTAGAAAGTGTATGAAATGTCAATTTAATGCAACAAATATTTTTTGAGTTATTGTCTGGAAACCGAGTGTGTGGTTTTATTCTGGGAAAGTTGACTTAAAAGTGCCTGGTATTTTACGCATTCAATACACTAAATTGCTTTGTTTACATTATTTTTGTTTGTTTGACAATTCTTGTTTAAATTAGATAGAGAGGGGTCACTTATCATCTTTAATGAGCGTATGGAATTTCACTTTCATTCAACAAATATTTCTTGAGTTATTGTTTGGAAACCAATTGTGTTGTTTTTGTTATAGTAAAGTTGACTCAAAATCGCCTAGTATTTTACGCTCTTAATACACAACATTGATTTGTTTATTATTTTTTTTTTATTGTTTGAGGATTCATCTACAAATTAACAGACTTGTTTTATATATCACGTTTTATCAACATAAAAAACTGCAATTCAATGCAAAAAGTAATTGTTTGAGTTATTGCCTGGAAGCCAAGTGTGTTGTTTTTATTACAGTATAGTTGTTTTCAAATCGGCTGGTATTTTACACGTTTTACAATCCTACATTTCTTTCATAGGCGTCGCGAGGGGGGGGGGGGGCAAGGGGGGCACTTGCACCCACCCCCTGGAAAAGCAAAAAAGAAAAAAGAAAAAAAAAAAAAGAAAGTGAAAAAGAGGCACGAAGACAAAGTGGTGTAAATTTAATGAGTTGGGGGGGGGGGGCAAAATGTCCCTGTCCCCCTCTAAAACTGACAAATCGAGATTGTGTTGAGAAATACAAGCATTGTTTGGCAAAAAAGATTGTTTTGCCCCCCTCTAGAAAAAATCCTGGCGACGCCCATGATTTCTTTGTTTATATTATTTAAAGTGTTGGATGATATTCCTTCAAATTCAACAGAATGAGGTCAAATATCATGTTTAACAAGCGAATGATATGTCAATTTGATGCGACGAATGTTTCTTGATTTATTGTCTGGAAACTAAGTGTGTTGTTGTTGTTATAGTAAAGTTTACCAACAATCACCTGGTATTTTGCGCGCGCACTACACTAAATTGTGTTGTTTATTTTTTTTTCATTTATAACGATTCGTCTACAAATTCAACAAACTTGTATCAAATATCACGTTTAATTGTAATTAACGAAATTGTAATTAAGTGCAAAAGGTATTTCTTGAGGTTTTGTCTGCAAACCAAGTATGTTGTTCTGCAATAGTAAAGTTGACTTAAATTCGCCTAGTATTTTACGCGCTTTACAATCTACACTGCTTTGTTCATAACTGTTTGACTATTCTTCTTCATGTCCGTAAATTTCGCCGTAATTTTACGGACTTTGCGTAATTGCAGATATTAATTATGCTTATTAGCATGATTACAATCAACCACATCGGCCCAAACACCTACACGTTATAGTGATCCAAGTGTACCGTGTACACATGTCCAAACTCATGTTAATGGTCTGTTTATTTTACGAAACGAAAAAACTTTTCCGGAAATTTTGCTGCCAGCAAAAAAAGCGTTCCGTATTCCTGCAGTAAAATTTATTTAGTATATATTTACTTGCTTTTACAGTAAGACGTCGGTGGCAACTTAAGACGTCGGAGTGCGGTGAGCAGTGTTTGTGCAGCACCCTCTTTTGTAAGAAATTGTTGCATGACGATAACATACGGAGTGTTCTTCGTACTGCAATTCCCTTAAATTGTATTACATTATTCTTCGGCGGTTTCCGTCAAGTTTCTAGAGTTTCGTGTCAAATACCATGACAAAATAATACAGGAAATGTCATTGCAATACAATGTTTTTATCTCGAGTTCCCAATTTCACAATAACTGTGTTGACATGACGAGAAAATACAGAGTGTCCTTCATACTGCAATTTCCTTTTGAGCCCCCCCCCCAAGAGGTTGTCATTTTTGTTGTTAGTCCCACGATTGGCTGGCGTCAAAATAGGCCGGCCCTAACAAATTTGTAAACCAAAATATTTTGTCGGAACGCGGTGAGCAGTGTTTGTGTAGCGCGCCCTCTTTTGTTCGAAATTCTTGCATGAGGATAAAATACGAAGTGTCCTTCATACTGCAATTTCCTTTAATTATATTACATTCCACCTTCGGAGGTTCGTGTCAATTTTCTAGATTTTCGTGTCAAATACCATTGCAAAACATTACATGAAATTTCAATGCAATACAATGTGTTCATCTTGAGTTCCCTTTTTGCACAATAACTGTGTTTACATCTCGAATGGCCAGACGTCGGAGCGTGGTGAGCAGTATTTGTGTAGCGCGCCCGCTCTTTGAAAAGAAATAATTGTTATAAAATCTTTTTAAAATACTCAGAACTCTTCAGTCCCACGATTTTGGCCTTGGAGATTATTAATGTGGTCTGTTTTCGAGTAGTTTAATAGGGGTGTAAGTGGCGCCACTAACGTCAAAAAAGGCCGCCCCTAAAAAAAAAAACCATTTTTTTATGCGGCCAAAAAATTTGGGCAAAATTTTTGAAAACAAAAACAAACAAAACTGTATTTGTAAATAGACATATTTTGAGCCCCCCCCCGCCCTAAAACCAAATCCTGGGTGCGTCACTGGTTAATATTATTTTAACTATTTGTCGATTATTCTTGAAATTCAACAGTAAGGGGTCGTATATCATGTTTAATAAGTGGATTCAATGTCATTTTAAGGTACGGGATAAATCTTGAGTTATTGTCTGGAAATCAAGTTGGTTGTTAATGTTACAGAAAAGTTGACTTCAAATCGCCTGGTAGTTTACGCGCTTAGCAATCCTACATTGCTCTGTTTGATATTATTTTAACTGTTGATCGATTCCTCTTCAAATTCAACAGAAAGGAGTCACATATCATGTTTATTAAGCGTGTGATATGTCAATTTAATGCGACGAATACTTCTTGATTCATTGTCTGGAAATAGTAAAGTTTACCGAAAATCGACTGGTATTTTTACCCGCTTATTTCACCACATTGCTTTGTTTATAATGGGTTTTTTTTGATGACAATTTGTCTACAATTTCAACAGAATTGTATTAGATATCACGTTTTATCAATATACGAAATTGCAATTCATTGCAAAATGTATTTCTTGAGTTTTTGTCTGGAAACCAAGTACATGTATGTTGTTTTGTTATAGTAAAGTTCACTTGAATTCGCTTGGTATTTTACGTGCTTTATAATCTGCATTCCAGAATCGCCTGGTATTTTACGCGCTTAATACAGTACATTGCAATGTTTTATTATTTAACTATTCGACGATTCTTCTTCAAAATGTTCAAATTCAACAGAAAGGGGTCACAAATCATGTTTAATAAGCGTATGAAATATCAATTTAATGTAACGGATATATCTTGAGTTATTGTCTGTAAATCAAGGTTGTTGTTTATGTTACAGTAAAGTTGACTTAACTACTGGGAATGGGATCAGCCGTCAATTTCTTTTGTAATAAGCCACAATGAATCCTCAAACCCACTAAGCAACTTAAATTGACAAGAACCGTGGAAAAATTCAAAACCCCAAAAAATTGATTGCAAATTTAAGTC